TATTTCCCCCTAATATATCGTGAGCTTATATACTACCGAGAGAGAAAATGTACACAAAAAAGTGACGCTACACGCAATTTTCTTCCTGTTATGTATAAATCATGTATCAAGAAGCTACAGGAAGTTTGTAATCGATCCAACTATATTAGTCTTACTCTTGACGTATGGAGTGATCGTAGAATGCGAAGTTATTTTGGTATAACTCTTCATGCAATTGTTGACGATCACTATAAAACTTATCTTCTTTCATTTGAACGTCTAACAGGAAACATTCTGGTGAAAAACTAGCTGCCGAATTCGATCGAATTACACAACTGTACAACTTAAAAGACAAACTTGTTCGAATTATTACTGATAATGCAAGTAATAATCAAGCTGCTTTTAATCATCTCCTATTACCCGGATTTGATGAATATTTTGATGATTCAATTGATGATCAATCGGAACTTGAAACAAATGACGATGATACTGATAGTGATGAGTGCGACAAGAATCAATTGGAAATAGAAGAAGTAAATGATGATATATATGGATCAACACTTAATGCACCAACAGATCAAGAATTTTTACGATTACCATGCTTTATCCATTCTCTTCAACTGGTGATGCATGATGGTATTCAGGCTGCTAGTGATGCTTTATCATCTCTTAAAAAGGTAGCTGATCTTGCTAAACTTCCACACACAAGTACTTCATTTGCTGAATGATTGGAGGAACGTCATTATAGTATTCCTCGAGCTAATTATTCTTAATACGAAAGACAGAAAATTTTTAGAAGATTGTGTTTCTTTATTTGACCTTTTTAATGAAGCTACCATTTTGACACAAGGTGAATGCTATGCTACGATTAGTCTTGTTGCTCCTACAATTCTTGGTATTCTTATTGATCTTGAACATGAGCGCGCTGCTTCAAATTTATCTCTTGTATCTTTATGTGAAGCACTTCTTTCGTCCATTAAAGCTCGTTTTAGTGGACTTCTTCACCATTTCGAAACTGATGTGCCATTTGCTTCTTATTCTATGTCTGAACGTTTTTCTGATCCTATTTTTCTTGTTACGCCAGTTCTAGATGCACGTTTTAAGTTTTTATGGCTTGACAATCTTCAAGGTACGTAAAGTTGTGTGTTATCGAAAAAATGCATACTGCTTTTGTTCGTTTTTTCTTAAAATTGAATTTTTCTTTGTTACAGAAAGTGGGAGCTGATGAGCTGAACATAGTTCAACAAGATACGAGCGATCAGCCGACACAAAATTTTGATCCCATAACAAAAAGAAAATGTCTTTTTCCTTACCTAAATGATTTGAAAAAAATTTCTTCTGATGGGAAACCAAAAATTTTGGTAGAGCTAAATGCTTTTCTATGCGAGAAAAGTAATGAAACTAATTTACGTTTTCTCAAGAAAAATATTTATCTTTCTTTATATGAACTGGGTCTGAAATACTTATCAGTGCCGGCTACATCATCTCCTATTGAAAGAATATTTTCTCAAAGTGGATTTGTAATGCGCCCACATCGCGCATCGTTAACTTCAAAAAATGTATGTTTGATTACATTTCTTAAATGTAATCAAGTTTTGTTGTAGTTTTTTGTTTTGAAACTTGATAATAAACGTAATTTAAAAATATTGATTCGTGACTAAGACCATTTATTGATCTCACAATTGATACGTAATCTCTAACACTACCAATTAAATTTTCTCTAATAAGTTCGCGACAAACACCTTCTCATATCATGTACTCGCACTCGTACTCGAAAAAGTCCGTACTTGCCCAGCTCTGCTCTTGTACAACGTCATTCATGCGTGATATACGTTGTATTGCCGCTTCTTCTCCTCCTCCTGCTGTAGCCATGGTTATTAGAAATAAAATACTTTACGATGATTAATATCTGAAAAGTAAAACGAGAACAGATTTTTATAGTGTTATTCTCTGCAATATCAATCTATTTTTCCTCAAGACAATAATAAACTTTTCACAATATTAGATAAAAAATATGTGCGCCTACAAGCCCTTCTTATTATTGATCATTATGATTAGTAAAAATAAAATAAATAAAATATTCCAGTTGTTAAAAGTAAGAAAACAAGATTTAGTTTCATGCCATCTACTGTTTGGGACATCAGTCTTGAAGATAGCTGCTACGGGAATTTCCTCTGTCGATTCAGAAACTTTCGAATAAAAGACTTTTTAACAATCTTTTCAAACAAAATTTTACTACTGTTACAGTATTTTGGGGTGTAGGTGTGAGTATTTTTTACTGACTAATACCCGTACCCACACCCACAAGGAAAAGACAGAAATATATAATGTACATATTATAGATGCAAAGTTTCTATGAAATACAAGGAAGTTATATAATATCAATTCAATATTATAGTGTTCACATTTTCTATTGTTTTTGAATATTCACTTCAACAAGTATTTTTAAGTTAGAATGTATTCGTAAGAATAATGTGTATTCATTGTTTTTCATAATTTCAACGATGAAAAAACTTCTTGTGTGTTGCTTTTATGTAAAAAAAAGATTTACAAATCCATTAAAATTTTATTATCACTCCACTTACTTCAAAAACTTATATTCACTGGTCTACACTTCAAGAATTTTCTCTACTTATTCTACCTCGGTGCCACCTGACAAAAATTGTACAGCATAAACTCCTAACCTTATGTGTGCTGGACGATAGATTTTCCACATATCTATGATCAAAAGACACCCTGTATTAACTAATCTAAAGCTTTCTCTTTATCGTTTTTCGTCGACTTCTATATGAGATGAGCCCTATACATTGGAGTCACTTCATATAGCCGATACATTGCTCTGTTGCTGAAATGTTCTCATCTTTATTAGGTGACGACACTTTATGAATATAGGGTAAGCTTAAAGTTTGTTTTCATTTTATGCCATCGAAATAGCCACATCATCAGTAGGATTGATTTCGAACTAACATTTTGTAATGTATCGATATAACATTAGTGCCGACCCGACAAGAATTTACAACTGCTGACTAAAACTTTCTATTCATAAAAAAACATGGAAGTTTTAGTTTTCAGTCAATTGAGATAGTTTATCGGATTCAAAATGAGTTCATCCTAATCTGGTTTTGTGAAAACTAGAACTATGATGTCTCATTAGTTTTCATAGAAAAAAAATGAAATTTTGAGCTTGTTTAGCGTGTTGAACATGACTGATTGACATATAAAAATAGTTACTGAATAAAGAGCAAAATGTTGTACATCATTGAGTAAAATCGCAAGTTTGACCACAAATTCACATAAAATAGTCTTTAATTTCTTCTTTCTTTCATCATTCTACTATTCATGTGTCTAGTGGAATAATAATTACAGAGATAGTTCAATCTTTCTAATGTTTTATTCACCCACGAATAAAAATTTGAAATAAATGGCGTCTTTTTGTTGTTGTTATTGTTGGGAAAAAGTCTTACTACCTACATCAATTGCCTACTTCTTCCAATTGTTTCATCTTTGTGTTCTACGACAGAACATCATTTTTCTCTTTCTGTGTACTTTGACTTTTTTTTCATTCTTCTTAAAATGCTTAGAAATATGAATTCTATTGGCAATAGAACTGTTCATAGAAACACTAAAATATTCAGTAGACGAGTAGACGACGAATGATGACAAAGCAAAAAACATTCTTAATTCCATAAAATTTATTTCTCTGCGATTTCAAGGTGGTTTCTGTAAAAAAAAGTCTATGCTCGATCTTCCGATTATTCATTGTCAAAAAAAAAATAGCAGTTTTTTAAAAATATCTGACATATCTTTAAAATTGAAATATAAATAAAATCAATAAGATTATACCGCGATTCGATACTTGATTTTATCACTCACTGAAAATAAGAGAAAGAAGAAATTTAGCTTACGGATTTGAATTTGTACTTCAAAAATATTCACATTCTCATGTAAATAATCTAAAAAAGCTTGTTAGCGCAGTCCCTTTGGGGCTAAAATGTGGAACTCACATATATCCCTTCGGCTTATTAAAATAATTCAAAATAGTTCATCTGAAAAATCTACCCTGATTTCCAAAAGCTATAATTAACTCATTGCCTATTTGCTTATGTCTGCAATCGAGTATTAATTCTTAGCTGGTATATTTAACAATGGCAGATACTAATTTCTACAGTCTGTAATGGTACCCTAAACTAGTTACTATAGTCTGTAATGGGTAACCATTGCGTTTTTCATGTAGTCTATAATTAAAAAAGGAAGAAATTGCAGCCTAATTTGTCAAGCTCCTAATTAGCACAATTTTAAACTCATTAATGTCTGTAATGGGGAGGGGGGATGGGGAGCCGCAAAAATCTCGCCTTCAAATTTACACTCACCATTTTCTTCGAAAATATATGTGAGTTCCACAAAATTTGTCATTCGTTAATTGTTTTCATATTTTTATTTTTTTCATATTTTTACACTTTATCAGACGCTAAGAAGCATTTACAAAAGATTGTGATGGTAAAAAAAGGAAATTTTTAATCGACAGTTAATGCATAGTCTGTTTTTTATTTCCGATAGCTGAAGGCAATAAGCAGCAGATTTTATCATAGCTTCGATTGCTGGACTCCAAACAAGACTGGAGTCCTGGAGTACGCTATTTCCCCGTTGCATATATATGTAAGTGCCCAATGGGGTAAATGGGCATCGATTTATTTTCTGGAGCTCTCTGTAGAATAAATAGTATTTGAATATAACTGAAGTTCTAAAAATGATTAGTATAGGATTGTAGAAAAAGGTTTGAGTTACAAAATGATAGAAGTTTTACCGAAATTTAACTAAAAATGGTGTCAGAAATTCTTTCGTTCTGCTTGACTTCAACCTGCAGACAGTGGTAGTCAAGAGGTTAACGTCGAAGATGAATTAACCAATGCCATTGCTTAATTCATTTTCGACGTTCATTCATCTTTTCAGTCCGATTTATTTCCAAGTGAATTAAGAAACATGATTGGTGCTTCTGCGTAACAATGGTCATTATATTGGTTAATTCACTTTGAAGCAACTCAGTCTGATTGAGGTCTAAGATAATCAGAATCAGAATCAGACATGGACACTTTCAAAAAGAATAATCTTAATATGCTCGACTTACTCGATGAAATATTACTGATCATTTTCAATAAACTGAATACAATCGACACGCTCTATTCGCTTGTAGACGTTAATGAACGATTTAATCGATTAGTATTTAATGCACTTCATATTCACAATCTTGATACGACCAACATGGTCATAAGATCATATTATGATCGTAGATTTTCAATAGACGATAATATTCTTTCAAAAATATGCGAAAAAATCTTACCTCGAATTTATCATCAATTAAATGAACTTATCGTTGAACAAAATTCAGTGAAACATATTTTTCGTACTGGTAATTATCCTCAACTCGACTCGTTGTCACTTATTGATTTTCAAAAAGAAATACTTTTTCAATATTTAACAGGTACACTAATTATATTAAATAATAAAATGTAACATAAATTCATTGTGTTTATTTTTTAAATCCTCAGGTAATCGAATTCTTCATCATCTTCTCACTCAACAAATTCAACATCTTAATATTGACGTTTCGTACGATCCAAATTCAAAAGGATCTAAAATTCTATCAAGTATATTTGCATTGATTTTATTTAAATGTCAACGATTGATCAATTTGAATATTTGTCAATTGTTTTATGATCGGAAGGCTCCCATTCGTATTTCTAAGTTCCCATCAACAAGTTGCACATATTCGACGTTAATTAAATTAAAAGTTAATGTTATAACTTTTGATGATTGTCTTTATCTTCTTGATGGACGTCTCGAACACTTATCAACATTGATTATTGACGTGAAAAAAATATCATTCAATTTCTCAGATAAAAATAAGGTAAATATATTTTCAACAATTCTTGTATTTTGGCGAGAAACATATTCTTAATTATATTTTCATTATAGAAAAAACTTCCCGAATTGAAATGCTTCTCATTGACTTCAATGAAGGACACATTTCATTATGAGGATGTGGTATTCAATTACATAATCAAATTCTTATGTATTTGCCACAATTGAACAAATTTACGTTTAGTATAAACACAACTGTTGTTAACGAAGACAAAAACATTAAAGTTCATCTTCCGTCGAACGAAGATATTCAACGTAGCTTTATTGGGAAAGGATACAAATCATCTTAATAGCTCTTTCAAAGGTAATATGTTTGATACAGTCCAAAGTTTAACAATGACTGATGGAAATCCTTTTGAATATAATTTGTTCAAACTTATCTCTCAATGTTTTCCTTTTTTGAAAAAGTTACATGTTAGGAATTGCCAACCACAAGAAAATAAGCAACATTCATCTATATTGATTATATTTCCTCGTCTAATTCTTTTCGACCTGTTTGAAGCACATATAGAATATGCTGAACAACTTCTCTTTGATAAACATACTCATCTGCCCGCTTTGTTAGATCTGTGGATCAAACACAAATCAATCGTAATGATAACAAACGATTTTACCAATGATGCAATATGTCGCAATTGCGCTAAAATAAAAATAAATTCATGGAAGTTCATTTTTTTTGGAGGGTGACGGTGCGGGTGTGGGTATCCCCCTACCCCACCTACCATCGAACTGACGAAAAGAGGTGAAGAGACGTATTTTTTTGATGATGACTAATGTTCGTTTGTGATGTGATGTAGGATGAGGTGAGGTAGTCGCAAGGTTTTTATTTCGAAGTGAGGAAAAGAGGTGAAGAGACGTATTTTCATCATGACTAATGTTCGTTTGTGATGTGATGTAGGATGAGGTGAGGTAGTCGCAAGGTTTGTTTCGAAGTGAGGTAAAGAGAGTGTGCGTTGATTTTCAGGGGTATTCGACGGGGTATGTTTTGTGTGTGTGGAAAGTAGTTTATTCAGAAAAATGTAGTTGTTGAATGATTTAATTGAATACGAAAGTTTTCGAATGATTGTCTGATTGGGTTGCATAGTGTGTTTCTTTGGATTGGTGGTTTAGCCGTGTTTTGTGTGGGTTGGGAAGGTGTTTGGTTTTGAGTTTGACGGTGATTGTAACTTTGTGTGGTGGTGTTAGTGTACTTCGGCCTCTGAATGTAGTTTTATTTGGAGGATGTGGTGTAGCTCAATTTGAAACTTAACTGTGAAATTGTTTTAGTGGTTTTCGTGAGAGTTGGTTTATGCAATAGGACTGTTAATTTCCTAGGGTTAGTGCACTATCTACGGTACAGTTGGAACATTGAAGGAATGTGGCTGTTCCTAAAGAGCGGTGCTTGTGTTCATGTGCTTCTCTTTTTTGTATAAACTTCTTGATGTATCCGTCTACGCTGAGATCTACCAATATTCATTGCCGAAATAGGTTCCGTTCTTCATTTGTTCATATCATTACAATTAGTATCTTTGTTCTATGTCAAAAAGAGTCGTTTTTTGTGGTAAATTACGGATTGCTTTTTTTCAACTGGATTGTTTATTAAAATGAATCTCAGTCGATTTTTTCTTGCTACCGGTTCAACTCGTTTCCGGTGCTTGTTTGTGGAGTTCTTATGATTGTGTATCTCCTGTTCAATTAAATATATTATTGGATGTACATCCGTATTCAATACTATTGATTTTTGATTGTTGTCATTCTGTCATCATTAATTATTTTATCACTTCACATTTCTACAAGTTGCGTCTCTGATCCTTATCAAGGCGTTACAGGGGGGTTCTGCACACACCCTGACAGGAGTAATCGGAAGAGGAAGCCAGTTTATAAATGCACTAGCCTCTGTGTTCGATTGGAATCGTTTCTGTGAGTATTGTTAGAACAATTTGATATTAGATATCTGTTTGGGATTTGTAACAATTGCTTAGTTGGCAGGAATATTCCCTATTCATATTTTCCACTACCTCGTGTAGAAGATGATCCACATGCTGGATGTTAGCGGTAGAGTCTCTGATTCATTATGCTTACGGCAAGACACCGTCTGCAACAATAGCATTTGCCGCAAATGATTCCGGTCATTCCGGATATTAATTGATTTGAGAAAATGATATAATGTGACTTAATGGTTAAAAGTATTCCACATGAAACGTTCTACACCCAAAATTTATATTCACTTGCTGTGGGCGGCATTGTTCGAATCGAAACGGTAAAAGTAGCTGAGTATGGTACGGGCTGTATTTGGAACGCAGGTATTTAACTTTTGTATTAATTAATCAAAAAAAAAATGGCAGAATCTAGACTTTTAATTGTAAAGATTCCGCATGAAAATGTTTCCTAGAATCTTACAAAATGTCTATCTACCTCAACAAACGCCGTTCAACGTGTATAAGGATGTGTAGTAAAGACTTCATAGAAGCCAGACGTCTCAAAAATAACTGAAGTATGTTTAAAAATTTGAAGAAAAGAACTCTATCATTTGTATGTTCGAGCTGATAATTCCATCAACGGATAAGGTATGGTTGGAAACAATTGATACCCGAAGCATATTTTGCTATTTTCAGCAGTAAATTTGTATCGAATCATAAATTTTCTACGGGCAGATTGTCCCAGGTGGGCAGCGGCTATTCTTCTGTGGTCATCCCAAAAAACAAAAAAAGTGATGACTAAAAAAAAAAAAGGTCATTTTTCCCCAAATAGTACCTTCAAAATTTTTTTCTGTCGCTGTAGGAGGGTGGGCCTGCGGCCCACCCCCTAGCATGCTATGCCAAAGTTAACCACAGTATAGTAATCCACCCTGCAATTTATTGAAAACACTATTACACAAAACGATTATTTTCACACAAACAAAGAGAATCACCACGAAGAGAAAAAGAATAAAGAGAAAGATAAGAATCACCAGTACAAGTGTAACCATCACGACGCTTAAAGTCTTTGTAGTAATCACCATTGTTCCAACGCTTCCTTTCTTCGTTGTTCCAATCCTTGGCACGTCTGATCCACTGCCAATTTTTCGAATCGCCGGTATAGTACCAATCACGGCATTTGCCGCAATTGGCACAAAGACGACCCTTACAATACATTTCGTTGAAAGCACCGGGCTCAGCAAATTCTTTATATGATGCTAAAAAAACGTTAAACATATTTATAGTAAATCAAAGTTAAGCTTATCGAATTTTTCTCTATCAAA